ACTGTCATGGAGGTCATGTTAAACAAATGCATTTTAAAAAAAAAAAAGCAACAAAACCAACAGTTAAATGCCACTTAAGAAGAAAAGGTTGGTCCAGCAAATCCTTTTCCATTGTTCCATAAGTTAGGATGCAATCATAGGAATAGATTTTTCAGAAGGGAGAACTTGCCTGAATTAGAAAAACAAGAAAGCATATAAAATTGGCAAGTCCTCTTGTTTTTTTTTTTTTAAACAAAAAATTAAAAGGGTTAGAAAGAATTTGAGGAGCACCCTGCAGAGGATTCTTAAGCTGATAACTAAGTGAGCACAAAGTATAGGAGACACTCAGGGTTGATAAGGCCCTAAGAGCAAAGCTCAGTTCTTGGTATTGGACTTCGCTGCTGAAAGTATTGGGAAGGTTGCCCTTTTATGCTTTTTGTAGCAGCAGATCAGAAGAGCTAGGTCAATTTATTGTAAATTTACAGAAACTATTAGGTAAAGATAGACAGTGTAGACACCAGATGGCATTCAGCTGGGAGTCTGAAAAAAACCTCAGATGTGAAATGGCAGAACTGGTCATCAGGGTGTGCAGTCTGCCACCATATATGATCAGTCTGCCACCATTAATGGCCACTGTGCCAGAGGAATAGTACATTGAAGTCATGTTGGCAGTACACAAGCAAAGCTCTAAATGGGACCCCAGAAACTACAGACTGATGATTTTGACTTTTGTCTTACCAGGAACGGTAGGGTCTTCAACAAAGAATAGGACACTGAGTGCATGAGCAAACAGTCTCTTTGGAGAGTCACTATGGTTTCTTTAAAGGGAAATCCTGTTTCACTAAGCTGCTGGGCTCTATGAGGGTGTCAGTAGGCATGTGTCTGAAGGGCATCCCAGGAACATGAAGGATTTTAATTTTTTGAAAAGCCTTTGACAAGGTTCTATACCAGTTCTTATTAAAAAAAAACCCAAAAAACTATTGGAGGAAATGTTCATTACTAGTCTTGCAGCTGGCTAGAGTTGAAAGCCAAATAGGGTATAGTGATTTTTTGTTTGTTTGTTTTTTGGGTTTTTGGGTTTTTTTGAATGGCACAGTCAGTAGTCATGTTCTTCAGGGATTCATGCTGGGAGCAATTCTGGTCAACATCTTCATTCATGACCTGAAGAAGGTAGTGAACGGAAGTTTGTGGGCAATGCTAAGTTCTTCAGGGTAGTCAAATGCTATGCCAAAGAAAGGAACTACAAAAGGACCTGTAAATCAGGGTGGGTAGGCAAGTTAGTGGTAGAAGAGCTTTAAATGCAAAATAAAGCATCTAGGTAAAATAATCTAAAACTGAGTTACTCAGTGCTGAGCTGAGTAACAACGCAGGAAAAAAGTCTTGGAGTCATCATTGACAGTTCTCTGAAATAATTGACTCAGCACAAGTAATTTTAAAAAAAGCCAAAGTGTCATCATCACCATATTGAGAATAAGACAGAGGTGATGTTTTATCACTATACAAAACCTTAGCATGCTCATACCTTGAATATTGGGTAGAGGTTTAGTGTCTACATCTCAAGAAGGAAGTAATGAATTAGAGATGATACAAAGAAGGGGAATTAATGCTACAGGGGATAGAGTAGCTGCCTTAAAAGGAAAAATGTAGAAGTCTGGGGGGCTTCAATTCAAAGAGAAGGCTGAGACATAAATGCAATCAAAGTTTACAAAATCGGAAAAGCATTGGATAAACAGAATGTGGAATTGTTCACCAAATTGTGCAATACAAGAAACAGGTGGCATTCAAAACTATCAAAGAGTTTAGTGGAGAAACCAACGTACTTCTTTACACATCAGGTTTGAACCTCTGGAGCTTGTTGCTGCATGTGGTTGTGAAGTGGGCAGTATCAGTGGGTTCAGAAAGGGGTTAGACATATTCACGGGGAGCGTGGATGCTAACAGGACTGGGCTAGGCATAATACCTTCCGATACTCTCTACTACAACAATTATGGAAGCTGGAACGGTATGAGGGGAAGATACTGTAGGAAGTGATAGGCTCATGTGCTCGCCCTAAATGCCATCTCTTGTGGCTACTCCTGGAAACAAGAGTGCTAGGCTACAGCTACCTCTGTTATGATCCAGTACAATATTATTGCTTACATTCTTATGTTTTGGCTGCGTAATGAAGACATTTGCTCAGAATTTTAAATGAACTCGGGACAAGAGTTTGTCTGAGAGAATGGCTTCTCCTAATTGTGATCCATTGGTATTGCTCAGTGCCAGAAAGGAAGAGTATACTGGGCCTTTATTTTACTGGTATCATACACATCTTCTCTTCTTCCAGTTTCTTTGTATCCAAAGTTATCCAATCAAAGTGATGGAGTACTGTAGCTTAATGAGTAACCACATTTGAGCTGATGTGCAGTGACCAACCAAATGCAGCAATTACCTGCCCTTCTTGCCAAGTAAAACACAGTAGCTTAAACCATGATTCAGTCTGACAAATGATTTGTGGTTTAAGCCTATAGTACCTCCTGATTCACAGACCAACATACAGTCAGTTACTGCAATTTGGGTGATGAATGTTAACTCATTAGGCTCCAGTTCTGAAATTTTTTCCAACTGAAATCTCTACCCTTCTGTGCACTTTTTTATATTTTCTCCCCCTTTTATCTGTCTCTTTCTTCACAGTATTTGGCACTCTAGCCTTACTTGGGGAAGGACTGTGTGTGTTTGAGGATTAGAAGTGAGTATAACTTGCTAGGACCCAGAACTGCGGATTCAACTCAAGAAATGCTGTTTAGATCACTTGCTGGTTTGGTAACTGATGTAATGTCAAAGCCACTGATGCAATGAAACACACGTGCAGCCTTGGCTGTGGAAGCAACATCTGACAGAGCTTGAACAATGACTGTGTAGCTTTTAAAGGGAGTCCTTGTCAACACAAGTGCAACAGAGCACCGTCTCCTCTCTATCCGTGACTAGAAGAAAGGAATGAGAAACCACTTTGAACCAGATGGTGATTCCTTCTAAATGAAATAGGGGTCTTGAGCTTGGTATTTTCTATAAAGTTCAGTTTACTCTGTATTTTGCAGAAGGTACATTTGGTGTGTCTTGCTGTGCTTTGTCTTGTGCACAGAAGACTGCGGGTCAAATAAGCATGAGGAAATTAAAA